TCAAAAAAATTTTGAGATCAGAAAGAAAAAACCACTTATCTCACATAGAAAAGATTGTTAATAAGATTTTCAACAGTTTTTCATCTAAAACTATGGAGAAGAAGAAGGCAATAAATTACTGTATTCAAAGTGCTGAAAAAAGAAAAATTGTCAATGGAAAATCCTGTATCTGGCAAAAGTGTCCTTTAAAATAAGAGAGGGCTAGGGATGTGGCTCAGAGGTAGAACATGTACAATGACACAGGTTTGTGCCCAGAATGAGGACAGAAGTGTGTGTGTGAGATTAAAATATTCCCTGATAAACAAAAGCTGAAAAGTTTGTTACCACTAAACCTGTCTTTCAAGATATGACAAAGGGCCTAGGAATTTAGCTCAGTGGTGCCCGCGCTTACCTTGGCAAGCGCAAGGTTGTGAGTTCTATCCCCGGTACCCAAAAAAAAAAAAAAAAAAAAAAAAAAAATGATAAAGGGAATCCAGTTTGAAGTGAAGGGCACTCAACCTAACTCAAAGCCATATAAATAAAAATATCTAGCAAAGACAAACACATTGACAATCATAAAAGCAAGTATTATCTTAATTTACAACTTTACTTTTTATTTTCTAATGATTTAAAAGTGAAATGTGTAGCCAGGCGTGGTGGCGCCTGTAATCCCAGCATGAAGCAGAGGCAGAAGGCTCACTTTGAGTTCGAGGCTAGCCTGGGCCACATAGTGAGTTCAGAGTCAGCCTGAACTAACAAGCAAAACAGTGTTTCAAAAAACAAACAACAAAGAGAAAGTAATCAAATGTGTATAAAAAAATAAGTTATGTTAATGGACACATAATGTATGAATTACATCAAGTATCATCAATTAATAGGAAGGTAGAGATGTATATGCTATTGAAGTTAAACTGGTATTAAATCAGAGTATTAAGTTCACAGATTTCAATCTTTATTACTGTGAGCTATTAAGCAAGTGGATAATTAATCCAATTATGGTATTGAGGGGTAGGGCCTTTGAATAAGATCATCAGAGGGGAGCCCCCATGATTCAATAATGGAGGCTTTATAAGAGGGAAAGACTAAAGAAGAAGGTACACATGCTGTCTTTTGCCATATGATGCTCTGTGCTATCATGGGACTCTTAACAGCAAAATTAACCAATCCATGAGCCAAAATAAACCTCTTTTCTTTATAATGTTCCTACTCTGTGATATTGTGTTATTAGCCACAGAAAATGTATTAACACAGATATTAAATCCCACTGTCATTAATAAAGAAAATATCTATAAAATATATATCTTTCTAAATATACATATATATCTATAAAAATACCTATAAAATACATACAAAAAGGAAAAGGGAATGAAAACATGATTTTTAAAAGTGAAGTAAACAAAATGCATCAAAACTGGAGGAAATGAGAATTTTTAAAAATTGTAAGGCATACAGAACAGAAATAACAAAATGACAGATACGGTATGTCATAATTATCAGGTATAATGAGAGATATAGTTAACTATGTCATAATTATCAGGTATAATGAGAGATATAGTTAACTAATTTACTTATTTATTTATTTAGTACAGGAGGCCAGGGATGTGGTTCAGTGGTGACACGCCTGCCTGGCAAGTGCAAGGTACCAAGAAAAAAAAAAATTTAAAGGCATCTACTTAGTACTGGGGAATCAAACTCTGGACCTTGTGCTTGCCAGACAGGCACTGTGCCACTGTGTCAAATCCCCAGATTAATTAACTATTTTAAATGTAAAGAGCTTAAACTCTCCAATAAAAAAAGATGGGCAGGTAATTTTTAAAACACGGTTCAACAATATGCTGTCTACAAGACTCACTTCAGATCCAAAGATACAAATATATTGCAAGTGAAAGGATGAAATAAGCCATTCCAGGGCGGGGGCATAGCTCAGTGGTATAGCACTTGCCCTACCCAGTGGCAAGACCCAGGGTTCATTCCCCAGCACCATTTAAAAATAACATCAAAGAACTTCCATGTAAATAGTAAGTAAAAGAGACCTGGGTTTGTTATAATAATTACAAAACAGACTTTAAATTTTGTAAAGGTTATGAGAAAGCTATTACATATTAATCAAAGGTTTGACAAAGTGAGATTACATAAATTATAAATTTTTCTGCACTCAAGAACAAGTTCTCAAAATAATAAGCAAGAACTAACTGAATTAAAAGAAGTAAAACAGTTCTACAGTAAGAGCTGAAACTAAAATATCCTCTTTTCAAGACTGGGTAAGACAACCAGACAAAAGATAAGTAAAGACATCTAAACATCACAATAAATCAATTAAGTCATTATATAAATAATTCCACCAAATAACAGCAAAATACACATTACTCTTAAGTACACATGGACCAGTCACCAGGGCAGAAAATATGTTAGGCTACAAAATAAGTCACAAAATAGATTTTTATGAGACATATACAAAATACCTTCTCAGATCTTAAGGGAATGAAGAAGAGAAACACAAAATTCAAATATGTGGAAACTCAACAATACATTATTAAAATAATAGGTCAGAGAAGAAATCCAAAGGGAAATTTAAAAAGTGATCAGAGGGAATTTATAGTTGTAAATAACCACAGTAAAAATGAATAGCTGAGGATGTGATTCAGTGGTGGAGTACTTGCCTAGTATATATATGAGGCCTCGGACCTTGGATTTTTTCCCTAGAACTTCAAAAAAGAAAAAAAGGAGAAAGAAGAGGAAGGGGATTAGAAAAAGGATCTCCAACTGATAACCTAAACTTTACATCTATAGAAGAAAAAAGGCATACTAAAGCTAAAGCTAGAAGGAAGGAATAATAGAACAGAAACAAAGTAGAGAATGGAAAAACAACAGGGAAAAAAAGAGTGAAGCCAAGCATAGTAGTGGGTTCCTGTAATCCTAGGTACTCACAAGCAGAAGCAGAAGGACTGCTTGAGCTAAGAAATTCAAGGCCAGTTTGGGAAATATAGTGAAATCCTGTCTCAAAACATGCATACATACACATACACACACACACACACACACACACACACACACCTCATACACAAACAAAATACAATAAAACTAAAATTGTATAAAGCCCCAAAGAGGATGAAATGCTTTCTAACACATTCTATGAGGTAGCAGTACTCTGATAGCAGAGAGATGAATGCATCATAAGAAAATTACAGGTCAATATCTCTTATGAATATAGATGAAAAAACAATTAAAATACTTAAAATTATATCCAAAAGCATAGTAAAATACTTATTTCCAAGACCAAGTGGGATTCATGCTAGTAAGGCTCAACATAAAATGAATCAATGTAATAGATCACAAAAATAGAATAAAGATTTGGGGGCACCAGCATCCCAGTTGATTCAGAAGAGGCATATGATAGTGGGCCAGGGATTTAGCTCAGTGGTTCTGCCACCTGCCTTGAAAGAATCCAGGCATCCTTTCATGATTATCCTCTTAGAAAACTAGGAATAGAGAAAATACCTAAACATAATTTAAAAATCCTGAAAAACATCACACTTGATGACTTATTAAACACGTTAAGGGCCAGGGATTTAGCTCAGTGGTGCTGCTGCTGCCTCCCAAACACAAGGACCTGCGTTTGATCCCCAGTATTTAAAAAAAAAAAAAGTTGAAAACTAGAAAGCAAAGAGAAATTAATGAAGATTAACTAATGAAAAGATATCCCATGTTCATAGACAGGAAGACAAAATTGTTACATCAACAATGTACAAAGCAACCTACAGATTCAATACAATCCCTATTCTGAAAGCTTTTTTCAAAGAAATGGAAAAGTTCATTCTCAAATTCATATGAAAGTGCAAAAATAACTCAAACAGCTAAAGCAAGTTTTGCAACTCCAAAACTTACTACAAAGCTACAGTAACTACAATATGGTACTAGCAAAAGGACCTGCAGATCACTGAGCATAGAGAACCCAGAAAATACATTTTTTCCAGTTGATTGGAACGGCGCCAAGACCGCTCAATCGTGATAAAAATAATGATCTTTCCAGCAAGTGACGTTGGGAAAACTGGCTACCCATATGCAGAAGAATGAAGTTGGGTAGTACTAATGGTGATGTTTACACAACATTGTGAGTGAACTTAATGCCACTGAACTTAATTAACAGAAACGTTTAAGTTGACAAACATTTTTATGACAATGAATAGTTCCCCCCAAGAAAAAATTTAAAAATGCAATAAAAACTTGGATTGGCAAGGAAAGAAAAAGGGCTCGAGAACGATACTTAAATTTTCTGGTCGGGTGCAATGCGTGGAAAATGCCATACCCCAACGCAAGAACTACTGTAAAGCAGACGAGCGGAAGTCTGGAGATGAACTTGAAATAATTAACAGATACATTAACACTGGGATAACCAATTGAAGATCCTTCTAGACAAATGACCAGATCTCTGGAAAGATATCTGGACTGGTGAGAGTTGCGAACGGTCAGCGCGATTCAGGTGGTAACGGATAATATGGGAACGCGGGAAATTGTCCTAGGAAAACGTAGGGAGGAGGAAGAACCCCGAGGCAACACTCCTATCACACGCCACCACCTTTAAGCAAGGGGCCTAAAACCGCTTTCCGCATTCCTGGCTCCCGCGAGGCAGTCCACATCCCTAAGCGGGAGGGACTTACCAAGGTTTAAGCACGGAAGGGCCCTTCAGGCTCAGGCAGGCAGCTGACGGTGATGGCCCCGCTCAAGAAGAGCCGCGAAGAGAGCCTGGCTCAGCGGATCCTAGAGAAGCGCACTGGGCCTGTGCCACCCAGGCTACCCAGCCACCTCACCTGACGATAGCTACCAAGGCAAGAAGCACTGGCACGTTGCCCGCGCACCGCCCACTACGCGCAAAGTCCCTCTGTGGGCTCCCGTAGTCCTCCGAGCATTCCGATTGGTGGAGATGACCATGGGACCTGGAAGTTGTCTTTGTCCGGCCAGGGCTGCCCTTCCGGTTCCGTTGGGTCCCCCTTTGGCTCAGGTTCCCTGCCCCTCCCCCTTCCCGGAGCCCCGAGGGGCCGGAGCTCCTGGCGGTGCCGGATCCTGACGGCGGCCTTCCCCCGGGTCTGTAAGTGTGGAGGCGGCCTAAGCACCGGGATGGGGTGCGGGTTCTCTCAAAATGGAGCCCTCTTGGGGCCCTACACGGGCCGGGAACTACACTGGGATGGAGGCTGAGAGGATAGCCTACGCCCCGGGGGAATTAAGGAGCCCTTGGCCCGGCCCACGCTGTGCCCCGCCCCTTTCCCTTCCCAGTATCTGGAGCGAGGAGTTTAAGAATGTCCCAAGGACCGCCTCCTGGGACCCCAACCTAGGGCCCTACTAGTTGGCCTGGACCCTGGACTCTGGCATCTTGTAGAAAGTACCAGAGTTGGGGCCCTGAGCAAACGAGCCGCGGGAGCCAGCCTAAGACAAGGCCTTCAATGCTAGCCGAATCACTGAGTGCTAGATTTCTTTTTTGATGGGGCTTCACTGAATTCAGTCATTGGCTGCAGCACCTTTTATACTGGCACTGGCGGTATTTTAGGCACTGGTCATTCGTCAGGTATCTCTCCATTTTTCGGGGTCAAGTTTGGGAGTCATATATAAACAAATAACTGTTCCTGTGATACATATCTATCTAATGTATGTTATATATAACGTATATTAGATAATTGTCTATTTTTCTCAAGGGACGACTTGAGAAACTGACATGTGAATTATACTTCTTGGTGACTATAAAATGTGGAAGCCCTTTTCAGGTAGAAGGAACAGCTGCAATTTTACTAAGAGTAATAACTGAAAAAGAGGAAATTAGGGTGGCATAGGGGAGCTCCTACATATGGGATAGGATTTGAGATTGGAAAAGTAGACTGAAGTTCAGATAGTGAAAGCTTTAGTTCTAAATGAGATTGATAGTTTTTTAAAGTTGTAAGCAGAAAACTGCCCTGCCAAAAATAATTTGGTTCTAGAGAAAGCTTATAGGAAAAGAATTTCTGTTAGCTGAATGCGGACTCTTTTAGTTCCTGGCTAGGTATTCTTAAATTATTTTAAAGAGATAATGGATCAGTGTGGTCAGAGGCAACGAAATCAGAAAATAGATTTCTGACTGTTACTAGAAAGGAGGCAGGTATTTATGTTTTAGATAACAGCGTCAGGATTTCATAACTAATTGTGTATTGAAGGAGAAAAGACTACTAAATCTAACTCCCAGTTTCAGACCTTTGGTATTTGAAGAATAGTGATGTCGTAACCAGAAATAAAACCATAAAGTTAGGGTAGATTACACACTCATTTTTTAGACATGTTGAGTTAAAGTCTAGTGGGATAGCCATATATAGTTGCCCACCTTAAAATTGGAAGTGCAAAACCTGAAATCAGCCTAAATGTGGCAGCCAGAGGTAAAGGTTTCAGTTATTAGCATAGAGGTGGAAGCCATGGAAATAGATGGTATCAAGAAGGGAATATTGAGAAAGAAGGAAATTTTCAGAGTCATGGTTACATTTATAAAGCAGAGAGAGGAATTGGAACAATAGTTATTACTGTAATAGTGGAAAAAGAGGTAGGAGATAAAGTGTAAGAATGCAAGTTTCCCACAACCAAAATGACTCAGATTTCAAGAGAAGAAAATTGAAGAGTCCACTGGATCAGTTATTTATAGTACCTGGGAAATGACAAGGAAAAAAAAAGATTGTTTATTAAAAAATCATTAGCCAGGGCTGGGGATTTAGCTCAGTTGCCCTATGCCTGCCTTGCAGGCACAAGATCCTGAGTTTGATCCCCTGTACCAAAAAAAGAAAAAAAAAGAAAAAGAAAAAAGAGAAATCATTAGCCAGGTGTGGTGGTGCACACCTGTAATGTAATCTTAGCACTCGGGAAACAGGCAGGAGGAGCTCCTCAAGTTCAAGACCAGCTTAGGCTGCATACTTTGTTCAAGGCCAGTGTGGACTTAATGAGACTCTGACTCAACCACGCTTCCTCCAAAAAAGAGAGATCATTAGTGACCTTTTTTTCTTTTATTTCTTTTGTTGTGTGTGTGGGGTGTGTGTGTGTGTGTGTGTGTGTGTGTGTGTGTGTGTTTATGATATGGAGACAGAGTGATAAGATCTCACTATGTAGTTCAGGCTGATCTTGAACTCATTATGTAGCCCCTGATGGCCTTAAACTCATGATCTCACTATGTAGTTCGGGCTTGTCTTCAAATCATTAATCCAAGCTGGCCTTGAACTCGTGACAATCCTCCTGCCTCAGTGCCCCTCACACCCAAGTGCTAGTATTACAGGCATGTGCCACCTCGCTTGGCTTCATTAGTGACCTTTTAAAAAGCAGTTTTAATAGAGTGGTAAGGTGCTGATATATGGACTATTAAAAGCCTCAACTGGTTTGACTTCAAAAGGGAATGAAAATAGGTCACATGAAGAATTTCATAAAGAAAATTGACAGGCTTTATAAATCACAAACCAGTCCATCATTCTACACTGTTTAAACATTAACTGATTTAATTTTCTGATTTAACAAATTAATTGATTTAAAAAATATGAAGTAATCTGCTTTTGACAGAAAGGAAAACTGGGGCAGAATAGTTAAGCTAGTAAGTGGTTGAGCAGGGTTTTTAGTCTTAGGAAATATGGCTGTAGAGTCCATGTTTTACCTACTCTACCATGCAATAACAATGCAGTAGTCAAAGTAGTAGGAAAATTTTAAGCAAAAATAAGCTTATTGATTGAAAAAATGGAAAAGCCTTGGAAAGAGACCCAGGTTGAGAAAATGGTAAGTAATGAACTTGTGCTTGTATTGTTTTTTATTTCTTCCTGTCTTAGATCTTCTTCCACTCTATGCCAATTTAGATTTGTCTCTTCCACTCATGCTTTCACTTGTCACCTATCATACCAGTTATAATCAGGTTTCCCCTGCAGCTTCAGTCCCAAATCCAACCAGCTGGTAGAGTCCACTGATCACTTCATTCTTGATGTCATCTTGATATTCATCTTGGTGTCATGTAGACCCTTCTAACTCAACATTTTTACTGCTACATTCTCAGTGCCAGATTTACTTAACCTTACACAATTTAGTGAAGCTACAAGGAAAAGACCAGCAAAACAATGATAAAAAACTAAGGTCAACAGTTAGGTAACTTGTCCACTTTTCAACAATTTAAAAAGAATGAACTGGACCGGGGATTTAGTTCAGTGGTTCCACTGCCTCCTGCGCTAGCATAAGGACCTGAGTTCGATCCCTTGTACAAAAAAAAAAAAAAAAAAAAAAATTAAAAAGAATGAACTATCACTGGTATGTAACTCAGTTGCAGTTTGTTGTTATACAGTCATTTTGTATAAACAAAAAACATAAACAGTGAAAACAACCTTAAATGAGAATATTCCTATTACATTGATGTTTGAGAAATGGTCCTTGGAAGTACTTAGATTTAATTTCTATAACCTAGGCCAGTGGTGGTGACTCTAGAGCACCCAAGCCACAGTAAGCTATTTATATCACTGAAGGCTCTAGAAGGTTTGTCATCACTGACCTAGGCAGTAGATAATAAGGGTATGAACCATGGCAACGATGGTAAGAATGGAGAAGGATTTTGGGAATCCTCCTGAGGAAAAACTTACAGAATGTGGTGACTAAGACTTTACCTGATAAGTTCTTTACTTTCTTTCAGTTACAGGAATAGTGCTACACATTAGAGTTACATAGTGACTTTTATGAATATTACTAATAATTATTGAAGTTATCTACACTTAGCGATTCTGAAATCAGATATATTCATGTTTATCTTGTTTCTTTTTCCAGTACTGGAAATCAAACTCAGGACCTTGTGCTTGCCAGGCAGGCACAGTGCCGCTGAGCTAAATCCCCAGCCCAATTCTGTTTTATTTGCAGATAGTATTAAATTTCTATCTACATGAGTAAATAGCATAAGAGATAGAAAACTAACAGATAAGGAAGAATAAGGGCATAAAATACAATCAAATATGATTAATATATAATATGGCTTACCATTAAAGTCCTGTTTATATGATACAAATTTGGCTTTTAATTGTACTTTTTGTTTTTAAGCATAAACTTTTTATGTAACTAATCATAATACTATACAAATTGTAAGCATACAGCTCAATAAATTTCCATGGCCTACCTTGGTGATACTCAATATAAAGAAGGGAATCTGAATAGTTATACTCTTAGATATCACCCTTAAATAAAATTATTATATAATAAAATTATTATATTCAGGAGGCTACGCAGGAGGATTCCAAGTTCAAGTCAGTCTGGGTAACTTCACAAGACCCTATCTGAAAATTTAAAAAAAATTGTTTTTTTTGAAGAGCTGAGGGGTATGGCTCAATAAGTAGTACAGCACTTGCCTAGCACACATGAGACCCTGGGTTTGATGTCCAGAACCACATACACACACACACACAAAACCTAGCCTACTTGTCTCCTACATAGATTGCTGGCATCATGCAATTTGGGCACAAGTTCCATGTAACACGTAACACTGTCAACTTCTATTATTTTCAGCAAGTTATTAGGGATAATACCTACCTATAAAGATTTTCAAAATTAAATGGGCCAATTTCAAGCATTTGGCACTGTACTTAGAATTTAACAAGGACTCAGAAAGATTAGTTATCATTTTTTTAAAAATATTCATTATAAGCATAATTTTTATATTACTCATTTTTGTGTATGATGTTAGGGATTAAATGCAAGGCCAAGCACATGCTAACCATGTGCTCAAGCACTAACTAGATCCTGGCCCCCTATTATCTAAAAAAAGTATTTTAAATATGATTTTATATGATCACAGTTATTTTGGATGCAAACCTTGTTAGAAACAAGTTTTTCCCAGGGTGCACAAATATCCTGATGTTGAAGAACATGCATATCATAGCTCAATAATTATTTCACAGGAAACATTAAGAATTCATTATATAGGGCTGGGGATTTAGCTCAGTGGCACCATGCCTGCCTGGCAAGCACAAGGTCCCGGATTCGATTCCCAGTACCAGAAAAAAAAGAGAAATGAGTTCATTATATGGCTGGATTTTGTTTAAGGAGCTGTGTAAAGTATACCAAACAGTTCATCCTTGTCCTCAAATAACTAATAGTCTGTTGGAGAGGGAAACTAATGACAGGAAACAAGTGATAAATTGTGGTCTGGAAATAGGAGTTTATCAAAGGTAAACAATAGAGTAGATTGACACATATTAGGAAAAACTTCCTAACATAAACAGGTTATTCTCATATTTGTGGACTTCAAGAGACAGATTATAATAAATACTTTCCTGAGCTACCTGTTTGGCTGCTTTTGTTGGTAAATTTTTTTGAGAACTGATGAATAGGAAGCAAATGAAACCATATTCTTGCTCCTCATCTTTAGTGCAACAAGGAACAACTGCCCCTCACAATACAGTTGAATAAAGCATTGCGAGTCTATAGGTGGAAACATTGTTTATATACAAGTGCAAGTAGGGAAAATACTTATCTGAGGGTATCATGGCCAGCTGTAGTGCATTTAAGAACAAGAGAACTCTTGTTTTGTTTGTTTTTGGTTTTTTTAGGATAGAGTCTCACTATGTAGCTCAGATTGACCTTAAACTCACCATGTAGCCTAGACTTGCTTTGAGCTTGTAGCAATTCTCCTATATTAGCCTACCTATTGGTGGCATTACAGGCATGCAATAGCATGCCTGGCCCCAATAGAACTAATAAAGAATCCCACTTTTGTTTTGCCAGTTGAAACAAAAGTCATTTTTATAACTTCTCATTATAAATTAGAATATTTATTGTTCTAGAATGAATAAGCCTCCATAATTTCTAAAATTGACCAGTGATAATACAATTTTTCTGCTTTAAATTACTGATATTCTCTGTATTTTCAAGACTTTTACTTTATATTTCATACTCTTTTCTCTGATGTTTGCTTTTCTACATCCTTTGGTGCACTTTTAAATATTCTGCATATATTGAGAATGTCGTGTAGGGAAAAGCTACTTTGTGTTTAATGTTGTTAAATACTTATGCCATACTAGTTGCCCTGTCATTGACATTCAGCTGAATTCCTTAATTTAGAATCTTGACACAGTTCATTTTCTCTCTCTATTCAATCAGTTACCAAGTTCTTATAAATAACTTTTGTTATTTTTTCTTGCTTCTTACTTCCATTTTCATTCTTTCCTCAGCCCTGTAGCCTCAGCCCTGTAATGCATCTGCAGTTTTTGTGCTAGTCTTCTTAACAATTCAACAAATCTAAACCAAGCACCTCCATGTTTTCTACAAGGTCAAGTGATGGTAGTATACACTTGTAATCACAGAACTTGGGAGGCTGAGGCAGGAGGATTGAAAGTTTAGGGAGGATTATAAGCCTGAGATACATAATAAGACCCTGTCTCAAAATAACCAAAAGAAAAATATAATAGAATGCCAATTTATTATCTTCATAATGGAACTAATAGTTTAGCATGGCTAATTCATTTTTCCCCTTTAGAAAGATACATGAGAAGTCAAGTTTGGAGACTATGGAATCTAAACATGAAGCTTTCTCCAAAACAAAAGTGTTATGTAAACAGGAGTTTTTGCTATATTTGCAGGAGTTTTATATGTTTAATAGTGCTAAAGATTGACCACAGCGCCTCCGTCATGCTAGACAAGTGCTTTACCACTGAACCCCCAGCTCTGTGTAGAGTTTTGGCAAAGGTGCCTTCTCCATAGTTGAAGGAGTTATATAAATGTTTACCTTATTTTTATTTTTATTTTTTTTGTACCAGGATCGAATTCGGGACCTTATGCTTATGAGACAGGTACTGTACCACTGAGCTATGTCCCCGGCCCTTGTTTTTTCATTTTTAAAATTTTATTGGTACATATTAGATGTACATAATGATGACATTCATCATAGGGGATTTGTACCCGTGCATGGACATATCTTGCTCCTTTCTTTTTTCCCCATTCCCCTTCACTCCCTTCAACCCCTCTTCCCCTCCAGAAAATATGTTTTTGAAAGATGATATGGTAGTGTGTAAGTTAAGTTAGCAGCAATGGAAGATAGAAGTTAAGAGAAACATTTATGAATCAGCTCTAATATTTCACATGATATGTAATGATGGATGCATAGGGACAAAAAGAAAAGAACAGCATCTAGTAGGGATTGATCTATCTTACACCTACTCAGAATTCCACCACATGGTTCATCTGGTTATTCTGTTTCAAGGTTGGTTGGCTGGTTGGTTGGTAAGTGTGAATTTGTGGGGGGTGGTATGTGAGGATTGATCCCATGGCCTTTACACTGAACTATATCCCCACTTTTTAAAATTTGAGATAGAGTCTTGCTAAGTCATTAAATTGCCCAGGCTAAGCTCAGACTTGTAATCTTCCTGCCTCTGTCCTGCAAATTGCTGGGGTTATAGGCATGCATTCACCACATGTGAATTCTTTATTTTCTATTTCAAGAAATTTTCTTTAAAAGAGAATTTATATTTGTCTGCAATGTAAAGGATAAAGAATTACAGCTTTGGGCCAGGGATTTAGCTCAGTGATGCTGCCACCTGCCTCCCAAGTGCAAGGTCCCGAGTTCAATCCCTGGTATCAAAAATAAATAAATAAATAAATGAATAAACAAATAAATAAATAAAATACAAAGAAAAAGAAGAGTATTTTGTTTCAGAAGAAGCATGGAGAAGAAAATAATGACTTAATCTTTGCTTGTGTAGGGACGTTTTAGTTTGAGTTTGAAACTACGTAGAATCATCCATCATGTGGGTGACTAATTTAAACACTATTCTTATATTCAGTGTCTTAAAAAGTTGAGTGAATGCCCAGCTGTTAAACTTTACTCATGTCCACTCTTTCAGTGCAGTTGATACTTGTTAGTGGTAAGGAGTAATTTTTAACAGCCTTTTAAAGTTGTTGTAGTAGCTTCTTTCAAGGACAGTTTTATTTAGATACATACATAACAGATATGACAACACATTTGAATTTGGAAGGTTAATCCAGATTTCTTAATTGTTCAGATTTCCTTAAATTCAACCTTTTTACATTTCTGTTCTTTAGGTCTGCCAAAATGTCTGAAAGATCAGATCTCCTTCACTTCAAGTTTGAAAATTATGGAGATTCAATGTTACAAAAAATGAACAAATTAAGAGAAGAAAATAAATTTTGTGATGTTACAGTTCTCATAGATGATATTGAGGTACAGGGGCATAAAATTGTGTTCGCTGCAGGTTCCCCCTTCTTAAGAGACCAGTTTTTACTGAATGATTCCAGAGAGGTGAAAATCTCCATATTACAGAGTTCAGAAGTGGGGAGACAATTGCTCTTATCCTGTTATAGTGGTGTGCTGGAATTCCCTGAGATGGAACTGGTAAATTACTTGACTGCTGCAAGTTTTCTTCAGATGAGCCACATTGTAGAACGGTGCACGCAGGCCCTGTGGAAGTTTATAAAGCCAAAACAGCCAATGGATAGTAAAGAGGGATGTGAACCTCAGAGTGCTTCTCCCCAGTCAAAAGAACAGCAGGGAGATGATGGAGGCTCCCCAAAGCAAGACTCACCTTGTATTCATCCATCTGAAGACAGTATGGATATGGAGGACAGTGATATTCAGATTGTTAAGGTAGAATCTATTGGGGATGTATCAGAGGTTAGAAGTAAAAAAGATCAGAACCAATTTATTTCTTCTGAACCCACAGCTTTACATTCATCAGAGCCCCAGCACTCCCTGATAAATTCAACTGTGGAAAACAGAGTAAGTGAAATAGAGCAAACCCACCTCCACAATTATGCTCTATCATATACAGGCAGTGATAACATCATCATGACCTCAAAAGATGTCTTTGGGCCTAATATTCGAGGTGTAGACAAAGGCCTCCAGTGGCATCACCAATGCCCAAAGTGTACCAGGGTATTCCGTCACCTGGAGAACTACGCCAACCATTTAAAAATGCATAAACTCTTTATGTGTCTACTCTGCGGCAAGACTTTCACTCAGAAAGGCAACCTTCATCGACACATGCGTGTGCATGCCGGAATTAAACCTTTCCAGTGTAAAATCTGTGGGAAAACCTTTTCTCAGAAGTGTTCCTTACAGGATCATCTTAACCTTCACAGTGGAGATAAGCCCCATAAATGTAACTATTGTGACATGGTGTTTGCACATAAGCCAGTTTTGAGGAAACACCTTAAACAGCTGCATGGCAAAAACAGCTTTGATAATGCCAATGAGAGAAATGTGCAAGACCTCACAGTGGATTATGATTCTTTTGCGTGTACAACAGTCACAGACTCTAAAGGGTGTCAGCCGCAGCCTGATGGAACGCAGGTCCTGGATGCAGGTAAACTGGCCCAAGCTGTCCTCAACTTAAGGAGTGATAGTACTTGTGTGAATTGAGTACAGGCTTAATCACAACTAGAAGTGACTGACAATGTGGCAATAGTATGAGTCTTTTTAGGAGTGATTTTACTAGTTTTATTTCTCCAAAACCTCCATGTAGGTGGTAAGGGGTAAGTTAAAGCACTAATAGACCAGGCAACGTACCACTTGGAGTGGTTTTGCCTTCCTTTTGCCCTGTTCCACAAATAACTCTGTTGTGAGTTATTTGTCCTGTGATGGCTGTTTCCTTTCCCGAGGAATAATTCCATTTGTCTACCTAATGTTGACTTATGTCTTAGACTGACACTAGTTTAGGCTTTCACCAGGCACATTCTAAAGGTACCAAAAGGTTAATAACATTACCTACTCTCCACTAATAGATGCTGTGCTAAGAGAAGTGAATAATAATTTTCTTTGGCAAAAAAAAAAAAGAGGCTAAGATATAAGGTGATACTGCTGTTGACCTAAATATGTGATAAATCCCTCTGGTTGCCTATTGATAATTCATCCATATTTGGTAAATGAACGAATCTGCTTCTTACTGTTTGTACTTGGGTTGGAGCTGGCTCTAAAGAAGTATGTTGGTTATTCTGTATCCTTTTCAACACTCTCATAGCCAACTTCATCTCACTGAATTGTTCATATAAAACAGAGTACAGTCTTTTCAGAAACACTTGCAGACAGATAGAGATTACCAAGAGAAGCATAACTAACAGAGGACAGAAGTTCAGTTCGAAAACAGCACTTAAATGAGATGTTTTCCAGGTAGCACATCCCAGTAGGAGACCAGATGCTTAATGTATAAATTACTTACTGATGCTTTTGAAATCAGGATTGCTTCCAGCATATTCCCTCCCTCCCCCTGCATACTTTTTTGTTGTTGTTTTGTTTTTGGTTTTGTGAGACAGAGTCTCACTATGTAGTTGAGACTGACCTGGAACTCACTATGTAGCCCAGGCTGGTCTTGAACTCACAGCTATCCTCCTGCCTCAGCCTCCCGAGTGCTGGGATTACAGGCATGCGCCACCATGTCCGGCTGCCTGAATACTTTTTAGTGCTAGAGAATAATGATCTCTCTTTAAAAAAAGATCTATTTGAGAATTTCTGAACTTTGTATCAGAGTTTAATCATCAGAAAGGTGAGTTTAGCTATCAGTTTAAGTGTCTGGGACTTTTTCTTTCCTTATAGACCTTAACTTCTTTTTTCTTTTCTTTTTTTGGGGGGGTACCAGGGATCAAACTCAGGTCCTTGTGCTTGTGAGGCGGGTGCCGGAACCACTGAGCTAAATCCCTGACCCTTGTGAACCTTAATTTCTAAAATAGATTTAAAAAGTTACATGGGACACATAAGAGCAATCGGATCTTTTTTTTCTGCATTCAGGTATTTCCCTTAAAAGTATACTGCTCCACTTTGCCACCTCAGACAGACTAATAATAATGCAAAGTTGGCCTTTCCGTATCAAAGAACAAAACAACTTTTTACCTAAGCACATTTCAGAGATAAATTTTCGAGTGTTACTTGATTTTAACCCATGAGTTACATTTAAGCAATAGCAATGTTAAGAGTACAGTATTGAGAGAATCTTAAGAGACCATTTATTCCTCCTTCATCTGAGTTGGAACATCCAGAGCCCAAAGAAGTGGCCTGGCCATAGTTGGCTAAAGTAAATAAGTGACTATGAACTAATGTCTCTTTATTTCTTCTCACTATACTTTGGCTTAAAAATTTACACGATGAAGAACAATGCATTAGCAAAAACACCCCCAGTTTTGTGTTTCATTTTTGTTTCTCTGCTGACTTTGAGACAACCTGGATTTTGCCAGCAAAACATCACAAAGGGACTTAGTTATATTATTTTTTAAATTTTACTTTATTTTACCGAACCCAGGGCTTTATGTATGCTAGGTATATACTCTGATATCCCCAGTCCCTATTTTTTTAGATGAGTGTTACATTCTTGTCAAAAAAGTACTTCATTTTTTTACTATTAGGGAAGGGGAAAAGGCAAGTAAGAATAATGCAAGAAGGATCCAAATGTGAAACTTTTTTTGTCTGGAAAAGTGTTTCATTTCCATCCAGACTTTTGTTTTTAGTTTTGACCTAGGAGAGGACATGCACAAATAATACAGAAGTTAGGCTTTATTTATATAGTCAGAGGGATCTAAAATTTGATATATTTCCAAATGAGTGTGATATTTGAGGTATAATTTATCTTCTGTTCAAATATTTAATGAGAATAGAGTAGTGATAAGACCTATAGGTACCTTAAGCCAACATCATTATATTGTCAAATGATGCTTCCTAGCATTGTGATTTTTATATGATCCAGCCAAAGAGTACCAATTCTATGCAACAGTGAGGCTACTGTGCCAACTAGTATTTTTGTATTTTCTCTGAACGTCATTTCTTGGCAGAAAAGTTTCCAATTTGGATACTTCCCTCACATTCATGTTTTTGTTACTGATTTGAAGGCTGAAGCACATGGGTTCAAATAAAATTGGTCTCTTTGGTTGGAAACTATTTCTAGGTTCATTTCGATCATTCAAGAAACTTTTTTCTTTTTAATGCTGTGAATTGAACCTAGGGCCTGTGCATGCTAAGCATGTACTCTACCACTGAACTCAAGAAACATTTTCTAACCTCTGCTGCCAAGGCACTATGCTAAATACTGAGGATATGAAGGTAAGATTGATGTAGTCCCTACCCTCACAGAGCTTACGGTCTCAATTTGATTTATACTAGGAGTAGTAAAACTTTTTTTTCTTTGATCACTTTCAGCATTTTTTTAATTTATTAGTAAAACTTTTTGCATATACAAAACACTGAAGTAAATTGTGGGCTCCTCCATTTCTTGGTTAGAGAGGTGTTTTGTTTCTATGAGATATTTTCTAATTTTGGTGAGACTTGTCTTTTTTTCTTTCATTTACACGTTTCTTAGATTATATTGCAGAGAGTCAAACTGATATCAAGTACATTTTATAGGGGAACATGATTCAAACCTAGGAGAAAACGTTTTAAAACTTCAGTCATTCATCATTTGTATTTTATGGATCCCAGATAATTGAAAAGAGGACTCTTCTTTATAATAGTTTGGTTTTTAAAAATTTACTTTGTCACAGTTATTTATTATTTAACTTTATAGAAAAACTCCAAACTGAAGTGGCTCTGATGTAAATCAGATGTGGTTTTAGTTTCTTTACTGGAAGATCTATAAATGGACACTGGTCATTGCTTCTAAAATAGTAAACAACTCAGAACATTTTATTTCAGCTCATGAATAGCTGTTCTAAATCTGTTGTATGTTAGACATACTGTGAACTACCTCTTCACTTATTATGGGGAAGTTTCCTTAATAAAAGTGTGACAATTAAAACTGGTGTCAGTAGTTTACTTTCAATTTCTTGAACTTGAATCCCAGGGATGCTTCTATCTTTAAAACACATTTTAATTAAAACTGTTGACTTTGCCTTCAGAAGGAAGTATGAGCCAATGAGAAATTAGTTATTACTAGAGGCAGTTATTTCCATGAGAATCTGATGATTGAGGAGACCAGCAATGGCTTGTAAGAACTGGTTCAGACATCCCTTCATTAAACAAATACTTTATGCCTGTTGAGCACTAAACTTCTGGAATGCAGAGATCAGTAAGCATTGTCCTTAAACACCTTGGCCTCAATAGGACAAAATTTTGATGTAGGTCTGATAAGTGCAGTATTAAAATTAGGTGAAGGAATAACAGGTTCCAAACTGGAAATCAGTTAATTTAAGGGCAGATCAGAATGTGCTTGAGGGATGATGTGATTTATGGACAGGTTTGAGTAAGTGAAAGGGAGTGCTTTGCACGTGAAAGGCCTTAGGTCCAATCTCAGCGCCAAAGAAGGCAGGGGTGTCGGGGGGTGGGGTGGGGGGGTGTTGTATTTTGGTTGGGCACGTGGCTTGGTGGTAGGTCTGCCTAGCACGCTCTGGGTTTAACCCAGCACCCATAGGTCACTAGACTGACAGTCGAAAATATAGAGTCCTAGTTTCTCCTGCTATTTTCCAAGTTGTAGTTGGTTCCAATAAAAACCTGCCCCATAATAACCTATAAGAACCCTCCGGGAGTTCAGACGTTGGAATCTGACATATGCTCAAAAAGCAACTTCACAGTCCGTGTCTCCAATTTGGGTGTTCGGGAAGAGAACGGCTTGCGCACCGAAAACGGGACTGAACAAACCGGACATGCCACTTTCCGGCGCCTTTCTGTTATTCCAGGAATGCAGGAAACGAGAAAGAAAGAGCGTCCCAGGATGTCCTTCCGGGGCGCCCAGGTGACTTCAGTACAGAATAAAATTGGTTGACACCGGATGTGTTTTCTCCAGGCTAAGTCCATCTTCCATCCTGGGCCCCTCTGCCGCGGAATCCTCAATCCCAATTTTGTGAGTTGGTAAGTGAACCCAAAGGACGTTACCCAGGTGGCAAAGCTTGCTGAAGAAGAGGAGGCGGAGGTCAGCTGGGCGCGGCCTCTGAATGACTAATCTGATACCGCAGTCCCTTGGCTGATATCTTTGGGCCGGGAAGAACTGTGTGTCGAACTGGAGGGATTTTCCGGGCCACCTGGGATCCAGTTTTAGTTCAACAGATGTTCCCCACGCTCCCCTTGCTAATGCGTGGGCCTATGTGCTGAGTGGAGAATCAGCCACCATATTCGGGTGCTCTGGGAGCTACTGACTGTGGGGGGAGGAGTTACATTAATCTTACTTGGTTTGGGCTTAAAGGAGCCAAACCAGTTGCTGGGGAAAAAGCTGGACACCAAATGTAATAGCTGTGCAAAGGTATCTACGGATGTTTTTGATAGGACAAAGATGAAAAAGTATCTAAGATTGGGGTATGAAAAATAGAATAGGGCTGGGGATTTAGCTCAGCGGTTCGGTGGCCTGCCTTGCAAGCGGAAGGACCTGAGTTCAATCCCTGGTACAAAAAAATAAAAAATAAAGGGGATAGAGACATAAAAATGGGTTCTGGCCAAATTGTGAAATATCTGAGAGGTAGAGGAGGCAAGCCATTGAGGATATAAAGCAGAAGAGGGAAAACGAAAAAATATTAGTTCTTTTGAAATTCAATAAAGTTGGGAATACAGTAGAGTGTTAGGTCAAGGAGACCTGTTGAAGACATTGCAGTGGTCCATGTGAAGAAGACTGAAGCTCTGTAATAGCGGTAGGAAGTAGAACTTTAGGACACTCATTAAGGTTTCTAATTTGGGGTATTATGTTAATTATACTTTTGGTGATTACTCTGTTTACTACTACTACTACTATTATTATTATTATTATTGTACCAGGGATCGAACTCTGGACCTTGCGCTTACAAAGCAGGTGCAGTGCCACTGAGCTAAATCCCAGCCCTAGCCGCCCCTATTTATGGTTGAATATTTAAATTTGCCTGTTCTTGACCTCAAGGTACATACAATTCAGCCAAGGAAGTAAGCATAGCATCTGTTACCTACAATTAAATGAATGTGCTGCAACAGAAATATGAAAAATATATATGATATGATGGTTTAGGGCTTCACTTTTAGTACCCAGAGTACAATTTAGGTTTTTTTTTTTTTTTTTTTTTTGGAAAATTCAGGTTTGGAGTGGGAGGGTTGTTTTTATTGTCACAGCATGGGTAAATATTTCATATCCTTACATTAATGTTTGTGTTTTATTTCTCTTAGATTATGACAATGGCTGCTGAGTCTGATGTTCTGCACTTTCAGTTTGAACAGCAAGGAGATGTGGTCTTGCAGAAAATGAATCTCTTGAGACAGCAGAATTTATTTTGTGATGTATCAATTTACATTAATGACACTGAGTTCCAGGGGCACAAGGTGATATTGGCTGCTTGCTCTACTTTCATGAGAGACCAGTTTTTACTCACACAGTCAAAACATGTCAGAATCACCATCCTGCAGAGTGCAGAAGTTGGCAGAAAATTGTTACTCTCTTGCTATACTGGAGCACTAGAAGTTAAAAGGAAAGAGCTTTTGAAATATTTGACTGCTGCCAGTTACCTTCAGATGGTTCACATTGTGGAAAAGTGCACAGAAGCTTTGTCAAAATATCTGGAAATTGATCTTTCTATGAAAAATAATAACCAACATACTGACCTGTGTCAATCTTCTGATCCAGGTCATAATGAAGAAGAAAATTCTGAGAAAGACTGTGAGATAATTGAAATTTCAGAAGATAGTCCAGTAAACATAGATTTCCATGTTAAAGAAGAAGAAAACAATGTATTGCAGTCAACAGTAGAGAGCTTGACACCAGAAAGAAATGAAATTAAGTCACCAGAGCTGTCAACAGTTGATATAGGTTTTAAAGATAATGAAATTTGTATTCTCCATGTAGAATCTATCAGTACAGCTGGTGTAGAAAATGGAGAGTTTTCACAGCCTTGTACCTCATCAAAAGCAAGTATGTATCTCTCTGAAACACAGCACTCCCTGATCAATTCTACAGTTGAAAGCAGAGTGGCAGAAGTTCCTGGAAATCAAGGCCACGGCTTATTTTGTGAGAATACTGATGGAAGTCATGGTACAGTGAGTGAGATTCAGAATGTGGAAGAGAATTATTCCCTGAGGCACCAGTGCCCCAGGTGTCCTCGAGGATTTCTTCATGTTGACAACTATCTGCGCCACCTTAAGATGCATAAACTGTTCTTGTGCTTACAGTGCGGAAAAACATTCACACAGAAGAAAAATCTTAACCGGCATATCCGAGGGCATATGGGCATACGGCCTTTTCAATGTACTGTGTGCTTAAAGACCTTCACTGCCAAAAGCACACTTCAGGACCACTTGAACATCCATAGTGGGGATCGGCCATATAAATGCCACTGTTGTGATATGGATTTCAAGCACAAATCTGCCCTCAAAAAACACTTAACTTCTCTTCATGGCAGAAGTAGTGGTGAGAAACTACCTAGGCCTGATCTGAAAAGGCAAAATCTTTTATAAATTGGAATCGTGGACTTGCTATGTAAATCTTATATTCTGTTAGGCAAGTCTTTGTGTAGAAATGCAGCATTTGTAATCCTATATTCCCACCCCTAATCTAATTTTATTTTGGCTCTGACTACACATATTTTTTTCTGAACTAAAGTTGTGAGAGGCCTGATAAAGCTGATGGGATGAATTATATACTGTGTAAATCCTAAAAGAATATATGTCTGGAGAAATAGTGTTCTTTTAAATATTCTCAATTCCAGTTGACTGAGGACCTAGCAGTATTTGCAGATTCTAATGTGTATTCTTTAGGTAATTGATTTAATTGTTAAATCTAATCATACAATAACTTTAAAGAATTAGGGTGACAGAAAAATAAATATTATTTTTGGTTCTTTGAGACGGGTTCTCACTATGTAGCCCAGGCTGGCCTCAAACATGAAATGATCCTCTTGCCTCAGCGTCACAAGTGCTGGAATTGCAGACATGTGCCACCACGCCCAGTGACAAAAATTAAATTTTAAAACATTATTATCTGTTTCTGGTCACTTTAAGAACAGATAGAATTAGCAAATTGTTTTTCTAACTTTTAGCCAGTGTTCTTAGGCTCAAAACTAAGGTGCTTACAGTTTAGAACTAAGGAAGGTACTTTTAATTTTAAACTATAAAGAAACATAATTCAGATTCACTTGGCGATAGCAGAATTTCCTTATAATGTGTTAATATTTTTAAAAATATTTTCATTACTATTTGTCATCATTATATAAACTTTAGAATAATTAAGTCCATGTTTCTTGATTATATTTAATAAAGTTGGAGTAATAATTTTGTGGCCAGTAAAATAATACTGTTGTCATGAAGCTGTGAAAAATTACTTTTCTAGAAATTCCAACTTTATCAAAGATGTTTTACTGTGTCCTTCCTAAATTTCCTTTTTTTTTATTAATGTAGTAAAGTTGACCTTTTTGATATATACTTCTATGGATTTTAACACATGTACATATTTGTGTACCACCCTGCAAATGGGATACAGAACAATCCCATCACCCATAAAAAATCCCTCATGCTGTTCCTTGTTACTTAATTCCTCCTAGCTCTAAACCCTATAAATAGTTCTTCATTACTATAATTTTGCCTTTTCTAATGTCATTTAAATGAAATCTTGTTTTTACCCAACATAACACCTTTGGAGTCATTCATGTGTATATCAGTAGCTCATTCTCCTTTTGATTTTCACTTGCCAGTATGTATTCTGTCACCAATGAACAGTTTACATGTGGTTAGCTATTAGCATTAGCTATTAATTATAATTTTTAATTTACATTATGCAGTTTACATTCACTGTGTTAACATAAAATCCTAACCATCCCTAGAATTTTATTTGATGTCAGTAACGTGCCAAAAACAACACTATAATTCTGATTATTTTAGTAACATTTCAGATTGTGATCTGAGGCTTAGCTTCTTGTTATCCTTGTCTACGAAAAGATCAAAACATGTTCCAAGGCAAATCACCTGTAAAACATGGGAACTACTTTGAGTAAAGAAGCCTGACTGGATGCATCTTACTTTCAAGTTAAAATTTTATTCCTTCTCTACTTACCTTGCCTTTACGTAGAATTTCTACCATATTTAACTTCTACTGGTACTCTTTGTATTTTAAAACATAATATACTTTGTATCAGAATTTTGTGAAGAATCCCATGTTATAAATGTTCAATACTGTTTTTGTGATACTTTTTTGGAAAAGATATTCTGCACTGAATTTTAAATCTAGGAGAGATTCTTTTAAAATTCAGGTCTCGTATTTGATGAGAAAACTGACTTCCTAACTTCCAGATCACTAATTACTGATATTTGGCAGGTCCTTGAGTTTTTCTTAATTTTAATTTTAATCTCGTTCATTTTTAAGATTCTTTCCATGTCTAATACTCTATTTTATATTTAACTTTTCCTGGGGACAAAAAGGTGAAAGCAAAAGAGAAGAGTTGTGTCTTCCTGGATGTTACTATTTGAGTACTCTTCAAAGACAAAAGAACTTTTCTAAACAATGTTTTTCTTTAACTCAGTAATAGTTTAAAGTTTAATTTCCTTTCCCACTTGACTCAAGAGGGGCCATTTATACTTGTGAAAATATTTCCTTTTCAGAAATAGTTTACTTGTGATTGAGGTACTTTTCTTATTTTTCCTTCCTAGGATGAAATACTGGAGGGGAGGGGTAGGGATGGGAGAAGAGGGTAAAATACAGTTTTAAAAAATTGATTTTTTTTTTTTTTAGGAATTGGTATCTATCTTGAATGCTTCATAAAAATTTTAGTTGGAACAATGTTTATGTGTGCCTTGTCAGATTGTTATAAGATTGTTTTGTGAGTACTTTGAGATTTTTGTGTGGGGGAAGGTGTTTTGTAAAAGTGATAGTTGTTGCTTGTATTATTTATTCCTGTTAATTTCAAAACGTTCCTAGGAGAGTATCTGTTTGCATGATGTATCTAAAATATTTCAGAAAAATGGAATCTTTTAACATGCAGGCATGGCAAAGTAAATGTAAAATTTATTCATTTGAAATACTCTTACGTTGTTTTTGTTTCAGATATGACTGAAAAATGTAATGTCTTTTTTGTTCAGCCCCTTTACTTACCACATTTACATATATAAAAGATTTTGAAAAGGTAGTTGTTAAAGAGAAAATCCTTGTCCTTTTTCCTTGGATGTAACTATCTTACATGTTTACATAAATAATAAACTGGAGGTAAGAATAGAAAATGTTTGTTTTGCCTGTATCTATGAATTTTAAAGGACACAGTTTTTCCTGGCTATTTAATTATTCAGTTCAGAAATACCTACTGAATCTGTACTTGAAATTAGGTAAACAAACAAAATCTCTGCCTTCATGAAATTTACATTCTAGTGGAGGGAGATAAACAGTACATAAATAAGTAAAATTAATTTGTCAGATTTGAAAACAGATTTAGAGACAAATAATGCAAGGATAGTGCCACAAGAAGGTGGGATTGTAATTTTAAATGTGGATAGTCCACCTTTGAAAAATCTTATTCATATATATATTTTTTTCTATTGCCTTTGGAATGTAATTAGGTATAGTGCCTAATGGGATACAAAGTGCACAAATAGAATTTGGAAAACATGTACATATAAAAATCACCCATCATTGTCCACCTGAAAGTACAGAAATGAATCACTGATTGTCGGAATATTTTCTTTTACATTGGCATATATTTCAAAAAGATGAAAAAGGCTATTGCATGGGGGAAAAGAAAGTCTGATGATGCCAATTAAATCCTTTTCTAAAAACCCTAATCTTTCCTTATCACACAGGCAGTAATAGCCATGTTTCTTCAAGCTCATGTTACTTTTCCATATTTTAATTTATATTTTATTTATTTCTATATATCTGTTATACATACGGCTTCACATTGAAAAGTTTTGAGTTTATGTCATGCCTATTATGCTTCACTTTCTCATCAGTAACTATATGTTATCTGCCTTTTAGAATTATTTCAGTAAGGAAATATAAGTACAACTAAAAATGAATACTTTTAAAACAACACAGTTTTGCACATAGTAAATTTGTAAATTATAAATTTCTAATTCCTATTCCGTTTTTTATTTGTAAAAACAGATTTCCTAACAAAATTTACTTTGAGTACTTGCTTCAGCAGCACATATACTAACATTTGCTTTGAAAAAGTTCTTCAAGAAATATTTGAGACATAATGCCAAATTTTGAGATTAAATTTTGATCCTTAGCAGCTTTGGGGTAGCTTTGTGTTCTCAATAGAGATTAGGTAGTTGGAAGTGTCTGTCAAACGCTTTCATTTTGGAGCTTTTCGTGTTTGTTTTTGTAATTGGGAGGTTACTTGATCTATGCAGAAGGACTGAGGGATCTGGTCAGCATTTCTTTATGAAAGTGAAGTAAGATTAACATGGATCCATCAATTCTGCGAAATGGATAACGTGCTTTTCAAAGTGAAAGTCTGGTACTAGTTCAAACCCGGGTCGAGCAAGCCGGTTCAAGACGCAGATCAAAGTGCAGGGAGTTTCCCATCAATCCCTTCGACAAGACTAGTCCTCACAACATCTCCCACAGTACTCCGGGACTCCGTCACATGACAGGGGAGGATTCACTTGAGCACTTCAGGCGTAGCAGACATCTACGCTTTTCCACTCACCAACTCCCGGCCATGCGTAATCTCGCGTGAAGTGAGCAGTATCTCCTCGCGAGAACTAAATCGGGACCCTCCAGGTCCGCCTCCGTGGTGAGGAGGAGGAGGAGGAGGAGGAGAAGGAGGAGGCGGAGGGAGGAGGAGGAGGAGGAGGCCCCGTCGCGGCCTTTGCCGCCGCCAGCGGGGCTGTCCTTGTAGCTCCCGATGGAGTTTGAGGCCGTGAAACCGCCGCCGAGCTCTGCCGCGGCGAGACGAGGCTCCTCCATCGCCAAG